CCGGACCTTTGGCCGCCGCTCCATGCAGCGCTACGCGCGGGGCGCGGCGGGGCGCGGGGCCGCCGGGCTGGGGGACGAGCGCGACGGGGGGCCGCGAGGGGGCCCGGCCGCCGTCGCCAGCTCCTCAGTGCTGCCCGCCGCGCCCGGGGGCAGCGTGTTCCCGGCCGGCGGCGGGCCCCTGCTCACGGGCGGCGCGGCTGTGCACATCTCCGCCTCAGGAGCTGCCAAGGCCACCCTTTACTGCCGTGTCTTCCTGCTCGACGGAACCGAAGTGAGCGTGGACCTGCCGGTGAGTGACGCGGCGCGTGCGGGGCACTGGCAGCCTGCGCTTCTTGGGGCAGAGCCCCCTGCCCCAGTGGTTCTTTCCCTCTGGGACGCTTCCCGGGCTGCTTTTGGGGGACCCCTCCCCCATCTCCTGCCAGTCTTCCCTAGCCGTGAACCCTCCTGGACCACCAGCCCGGTTATACTCTGGGGCCCAGTCTTTGGCACCTTGCACCGCAGGGTTGCGGCCCCCTTCTTTGGCGACCACCTAGGTTTTTTGTGCCTCACTCCTACCCCATGCTACCCCATACATACGTCCCCACGTCCCCTCCCCTTGGCGCAGGTGGCCGGCATTCCCTGCCAATGTTGGCCTTCCGATGCTGGATTGAGTAGAATTTTTCAAGCGACGCAGGGCTGTTCCGGGGGTATCCCGCTTTGGCTGTCAGGCCTTGGTGGAGAAGAAATCCTTGCCTGCTGCTCAGCAGGTGCCCTAAGTTTGGGAAGAGGCTTAGGGAACAATTTTACCGCTCTGCCTTCTGCCGATTCCCTATGGATGACCCCCCATAGGAAGCCTATCCTAAAGTGCTCCCTGGCTCACAACCTTGCTGGGAGTGGAGCGACTTGGGAGCCAACTCAGGCCAGGTCAGCTTTGAACGGACAGAAGCCTTGGCGTGCTGGGAGTTGGCTCCGGCCCCTCTGGACTGGCCTACCCACTCGTTCCCACACCCGGCAGTGTGCGTGGGACGCACAGGGCATCCCGGGGTGGCAGCACCAGGGCCTGAGTCCCGGCCACACACCTACAGGTGGTTGCACCCGGGCCCAGTTCCAGTGGCAAGCTAGGCCAGCGCCAGTGTCTCCGACAGGGAGTCCAGCCGCCAAAAGAACCTTTCTGGCCGAAAGGGCCAGTCAGATCCCGATCAAACGATGCACTAACGGGCGCCCACTGCGCTGCGGCAGACGGAGCCTTCGGGAATCTTTGGGCTTGACTGAAGACACTGCAGTAATTGAGCTTTAGATGAGTTACAGATTGTCCAGAGCGTTTAGGCCTCCGGACAATCTGTAACTGGGTGGCAGGGAATTCTTTGGACTTAAGGAGAGAGCCCTTAACCTGTAAGGGTTTCAGATGGGAAAAATCAGCCTTGCTAGTTTGGGCTCTAAGGCTGCTTCGTGTGGGTTTTATATGGAGACAGTTTCAATTTATGATGGTTTCATTTTTGTGGTTCCTGTGCTCTATAGGAGAGCATTTTGTCACAGAAATATCCTCGCGAGGCCTTTTCATAGAAAAGGTGCCAACATTCCCTAGCCCAAAGCTGTTGTCTTTTAAAAAGCATATATGTCACCGCTCCCCAAGAATGAGGCTCTCCAGCTCATGCAGAGAGGCAGCCTGAGAGCGGGGAGCAGAGGCTAGGTGAGTGGGCAGCTTGGGTTGAGTGAGGATGTGGCGCAGTTTGCATCTGGCAAAGGAATAATATCCTTGGGAACTTTATCGGTGCTCCTTGCCTGGTAGTTTTCTTGTCTGTTCCCCAGGGATAATTGGCTTATAAAATGTATTGCTACTGTCAGGTTTGTGCGACAGGCTTAAGTGGTGTTTCTGAGATGAAAAATTGCAAACGGAGTAAAGTGCCTGTGTGCTAAAGAGATCCAAACAGGTACACAAATGAACAGGTTGGGAAGCTGACTGACTGCAGCCGGTGGGGGTATGGGGGAGGGGAAACAGTGGCATCCTAAAAGGCTTCTTTCCTTTTTATAAAAGGGCACAGAAGAAGTCCTCCATCTCGGGTTTCCTTCGATGTCAGATCTTTTTGATGCTTTTTTTTTTAATGTGTGATTTAATGAACCTCGAGTTTTATTTATACATACAGACATATGACTATGCACCATGTCCATAGACAAATAAAAAGCAAATAAATGCTGGCTTTGTTGTGTGAGCTCTCAGGGAGGGAAGATGAAGAAAAATTGCCAGTGAACATGGCTCATTGATTTAAAGATTTATTAGATATTGGAATTGCATCAGTAAATCTCCTCCTCTAATCTTCCCAGATCGGAGTGCTAGTCCCTGTAATTAATTCTCCCAGTTACTCGGTTTATCGCCAGGCGGTGGCTCCCTTGTGAATTTGTGATGTTTGTGCTGTTCCTCAGACCCACTTTACTGGATTCCTTTTCCGTGTCTCCTTCTAGACATTTGACCCCACATGTACTTGTTCTGTCTCTGGAGTTTTACTGCTTTCTGGGCTATGGCCTTGCCTGGCTGCTTGTCACACAGGATTTACCTTTGACCTCGTACCCCTAAGCTTCCTTCTATATTGGATCACTTTCATAAAAACCCAGGGACCTAGCCAGACTAACTATGACTCCTTTGTAATTAAAACCCTCTGGTAGCTTCAGGAAGTCCTTTGCTCAGCACACAAAAGTGGTAATGTGTTGTCATAAACCTTTTTATTAGCCCCTCTCAGGACAGACACTTGTGTTCCAAAATGGCCTCAAACACAGTAACACACTCAAGTATGACCAGGCTGTGGCACCTTGTAGCCCTTACTCATCATTTATGGGGTGACTCCAGTGTGCTGAGGTACTTTCTGTAAACACAAAGGTCAGGGAAATGTGGCCCGGAGGCTCCTGGAATACACATTTGGAAAGATGCTTTGTATTCTAAGTGATGCTAGTAGGAGAAACCCTCCCTGGTGGGATGTTTCAGAAGGTTGAGATGGGCAGGTTGGGGGTGTAGGGTGTGAGGTGGGTGTCGTGTAAGAAAGACTTCCTGAACTTTTTGAGGCTTGAAATGGGAGTGGGTTAAATCCACTGTTACTTGGCAAAGCCACAGTCCAGTTGTCATAATTAATAAAAGAAGATGCCACTGTCGTTTTCCTAGTGAGTCTTCTCCCAACAGACTTGGAGTTGGGTGGTCTAGTTGGTTGAATCTGCTAGCCTGCCTGGATGTTCTGGGTCCTTCATGTAGAGAGTCAGGGCTTTCTCAACACTGAATAAAAAATAAACAAGAAGGTCTCGCCTATAGTATACAGTCCAAAGTGGGATTGGTGTACAAGCCCAGCTTCCAGGTAACCAACAGTGCCACCCTGAGCCGTTTCTCTTCAGAAACCCAGCCCTCTCAAGAAGGGCACCTCCCTCCTGTTAGTCCAGCCATGCTCAGCCTTCAGGTGTGGTGTGGTCTGCGGGAGGCAGGCACTTTACTTCTGTGAATGCGTCTGCAGATCCCACTGGTTCGTGCGCTTGGCAGCAGCACCCACTGTTGACTCATATTAGCTCTCTGTTGACTAAATCCCTGGCATGGCTCTTGCTTGGTCCCCTTCGCTCAGCCCCCTTCGCTCAGCCCCGCCTCTGTTGCCTGTGGTCTTTCAGCAGCCCTGTGTGCAAAGCTGTTGGGACCAGTGGCTTGCCAGTTAGCACTCCCGCCATGCCTTGCAGGGGAAGGCTGGTTGGCCAGTGTAGCATTTGGCACAGTTGCCCACACTGTATCTGAAACTTGGCATCGACTCACTAGGGTACTGTGCAAACGCAGAGAATTTCAGTGTTACTTTATAGCCCGGCTGCCACCTTGGGCCATTTGGACTCTGAGCATTGGCTTCCCCTTTTTTAAAATGGGGAGATGAAATGATTTAAAACAAATTAGAATGCTTCAGTAAACAGCGAGGCATTGGAGGATTGCTAGAAAGTCAATTTTATAAATGTCTCATCCTTCTCTGTGGAATGTGGAGAAGTATTAAACAATTGTAATATGGACTTTAGAAAAACAAAAGTGAGCCGCACCAGGCAGGCTTCCCATTGATTGGCTCTTGGTTAGTGGGATTGGAAGCTGGATGCTGTATGGGAAATGCTTTTTAAAAAAGCTTCACTTTGGAAGGGAAAAGAAGCCTCCCCACAGGTTCTTAGGACTGGTAGAGCATACGAGGTACAGCATAAAGGTCATATGCCTTATTTAGGAATCGAAAAAGCACATCTGCATCCAATGTATGTAGAGTGACTGAGGCCAGGGGCCATAGAGTGACTGCCCTTTGGTCACTCCCTGGAGGGCTGGAATGGGCTGCTCTAGGAAGGCACACAGAAGGCTAGGTTGTAGGATGCTGCCTTAAGTCCTGCTTCCCCCTCCTTACCTATGCAGAAAGGGGGGGAGGTGTTTCTGACAGTGCAAAACGAAGAAGGTTTTTCATTCAGTGTGTATGCATGCACATACATATATATATATATATATATATATATATATATATATAAATAAATTTAAGATGGTTTTACTGTGTTGCCCAGTTTATAGCTCCCAGCGATGGTCCTGCCTCAGTCCAGCCATCTCTGGTGCTAGGACTGCAGGCATGTCTTAAATGTTTTCAGTTTATCTGAGGAAGTGTGTGTGTGTGTGTGTGCGTTAGTTGTTATTTTCTGCCTCAAATATTTGCAGTGCTCTTGGGGCTGGAGAGGCTTTGGCAATTAAGAACACTGGCTGTTCTTCCAGAGGACCCAAGTTCAAGTCCCAGAATCTACTTGGCAGCTCACAACTGTCTATAACTGTGGTTCCAGAGGACCCACAACACTCACCTGGCACACAGTTGGTCCACAGACATACATGGCAAGCAAACACCTATACACATAAAGTAATAAAGTTAAAAATTAAAGACAAAAATCTGCAGAGTTCATGCCTAGCATTCTGGATTCAGCATTTTGTGGAACCAAGTTCCTGGCTGTTCACAGTCCTCTACTGCAGATGATTCTGATCACTTTGGTCCCTTCACGTTCTCTAGTACACTCTGGCCCTGGTGACAGCCAAAGGCAACTGTACTACACATTAAATCCAGGATAGGTATGCCTGTGAGCGTGTGCCTGTATGTGGCGACTGTGGTGCAGTCTTTGACCTGGGTATTGCCCTGTGTTTCAGAGAGCCTGATTCTGTGATAGTGGAGTGGAGGCTGGGCTGGTGGAGGGATTTGATGCCAGCTACACTGTGGCAGTACTCCAGGTGAAGCGTGAGGAGGGCATCCCTGGGAGAAGGGGCAGAGGGCCCTGGGACAGTTCATAGGTGGA